GCGTCAATCCTATGACAGTTTAACAGGAGGACATCTCGGAGTTAAGAAGACATTGAGTCACCTACGACAGAGATTTTACTGGATAGGCATGAGGGAAGGTGTGGGAGAATGGTGCAGAACATGTTGTGCTAAAAAGGGACCCAAGCATAAGGGACGTGCTCCAATGAAGTTATAACAAGTTGGCACACCAATGAAAATAGTAGCTGTTGACATTGCTGGTCCTCTGCCCCAAACTCGTGCTGGAAACAAGTATATTTGTATGGTGATGGTTTATTTCACCAAGTGGCCTGAGAATTATGCAATACCAAATCAGGAAGCTACAACTGTAGCTTAGGATATTAGTGATTTCTTCTTCAGATTTGGTATGCCATACGAATTGCATTTTGATTAAGGCCAGAACTTTGAATCAGCGGTGTTCCGTGAATGCTGCAAGTTTTTGGCATCCGAAAAACCAGGACAACGCCACTTCACCCACAGTCTGATGGGATGGTAGAAAAGTATAATTGGACACTGGGACAGGAATTGGCAAAGTTTTGTAATAGCCACCAAGATGACTGGGATGTCTTACTCCCTCCACTATTGATGGTCTATAGAACAACAGAGCATGAAGCCACTGGATACACTCCAGCAAAGTTGATGTTTGGTCGGGAACTTCAGTTGCCAGTGGATCTGTTAACAGGACGCCCACCTTAAGAACAGTTACCTGAAAATGTGTCAGAGTGAAAGTGTTATCGGAAAGGATGGATGATGTTCACCATCAAGTGTGTTCAAACTTGAAAACGTCTGCTGATTCCATGAAGCTATGTTATGATAAGAAGTCTACTGAAGTCAGCTTTGTACCAGGAGACAAGGTGTGGTTGTATAATCCCAGGAAGACCAAAGAGAAGTCTCCTTTGTTGTCTTCTCCATGGGAAGGCCCATATGACATTGTGGATCGTCTCTCAAACGTGACTTTCCGGATAAAATGTGGTCGGCGAGGTAAGCCAAATGTGGTGCATGCCAACAGGACATTTCAGTTGGAGCGAAGTGAACAACGGAACAAATGACGCTGCTGAAGACGTGTCACCTGAAAAAGCCACTGTCGAAGAAAGAACTCTACTCGGTTTTGAGAAGGGAAACAGCGAAGCCCTTGATGATGTTACTACCACTGATGTGACTGTTAACAATGATAAAACGTTTCTTGATGAAGCAGAAGCCAACGAGATGGAGACCAGTACGGAAAAAGATACATCCCATAAAATTAAGACTTGATTTTGTTATTATTGCCGTTACTTTCAAATTTATTTAAATAAAGCATAACACTTGTCTTATTGTATGCCGAAGTCCAAAGAACATTTCACAAGTATTAATTCTTATATTTTCTGCACTTCCAGAGTTGTTCAATGTAATGTTCAAATGCAAATTTTTAATTTTCTAATACTGAAAATGTATTTTCGAAAGGTACTTACCTTCTCACATAGATAGCTATTTCGTTCAGTGCTACTCTCTATATATGTAAAAATTATTTTTCGCACGCCTTTAACCCAAATCATGATCACGGAGAGCCAGTTACAATACAGTGAACGATAATTAACTAGCTGAAGCTTCTACACCTAGTGAAACATGGATATAATCACTGTTACATTAAGAAAACAGTCGAAATAGAATAAAAACAAGTGTTTTTGAATATTTTCCTACTTTCACTTGAAAATTTGAGGTTGATATTGGCTATAAATTATAGTGTGTAGAAGCTGCGGTTCAAACACACCACCACGTGTACGTTTATTATGTATTATTGCAAGATTCGTGAAGCATTTGATGTAACAATATATACATACACACGCATGACGTCTTGTGGCACAGCAATTTAACAGTTTCTGGTACTGCTTGTAAATTTTAATTGGAAGTGTATCACCCTCCCTTATAAATTATGTATTCCATTTTACATTGATTTGAAGTGGAGCAAAGTTTGTTTATATTAAGTTGAGATACAAGTAAAATATTGGAAGCGAAATTCATACATTCTGGGACTAGTAGGCATATTTGTAGTTTACGACTACGAATTTGTATTGTTTTCATTAAATAATATTAATGAAAAAACACACATAGGGAAGAACTGGGATTCACCTTACATCTCAGGAACTAAAGTTATTGTTTGTATATATATATATAAACACCAGTACTGGAAAGGCCAAGTCATAATCAATAGTTTAAGCAGCAAAGCAAGCAATACTGGGAGAAGGTTGAGCAGACCCCATACCCAGGAGTCCTCACACACGAAATTAATTGCAAGAAGTATAAAATATAATTACGAAAATGAAAAAATCGTTACATTTTGAAATTAAGAGTATATGGACAATAAAAAAATTAGTAGATAGTATTTGTATAAAAAACAATATATTTAACCTTATTTACAATTTACCAGTAAGATGAATGACAGGTAACTCTAAAATAACACACACGTTAAGCTTAATCTAACGTTGTAGGACAAAGAATATAACTAAACATTAATTTAAAAACCCTAACCTTACAAGAAGTTGTTACATATCTAACTAAACGTATGTTATTGAAACCAAAGAATTACAAATAATAATATTAATAACAAAGTTATTATAAAAGCTATAACAGCATAGCTTTTATGTCCGAAGTCAGTAGACCGTATTCCAAATGTGTGGGTCCTCAAACTCGAGACCCAACTCATAATAATCAATCTCCCAATGTATTAAAGCTGACAATTACTCAGTCGAGTATTGGCACAAGAAGCCCGGGTAATTGTGCTCGAAGTAAATGATAACGTTTTCGTAGTTGAACCACATTGATCGTGGGGGACGGGAGCTCAAGGCTTGTGAAAAATTTTTTTGCATATAAAGTGCAGCACTGAATGAGAATTGTGTTACGGCAGCGGAGGCCACGTGACGCTAGTAACACGTCATGCACTTCTAGAACGTTCATGAAACCTCGAGAGGTTACTAGATTCGGTATTCTTGTATATATAAGACGGTCAAGACGTGACGGCAACAATGGGTAATTGAACTGCGGACAAAGAGAGAGGGACAGTTTTATTTAAGAAAGGACTTGTATCGCTAAAGTATCTTCGGAAAGAATTTTTAAGGAAAATTAACTAACGGAGGCGTAACAATAACTATTTATGCGAGAGGATGTTATGTATCTTAAACGAAATATTTTTCTTAATAAATAAGACAAAATTCTATTTTCTTTCACTTACTTGCTAGTAAGATAAAAAGTTACAACACTTTTTTGAAATGCATAAAGTTGTCTGTATACATGGTTTCACAATACAAAATTACTAATAATCTTTATAACTATTACAGAAAAAATATGGCTACTTTTTAATGAAAGAATTTTTTAGTTTTTTGATTAGTATTTTTATAAGATTATTATTTAAATTCTATGATAGTGTGTATTAACTTTTGCTTACAACTAGCAATTTTTAATACAAAAACAAACCAAAATTCTTGGGTCAGAGTTGGCCCTGTGGAAGAATTCTGAATTTTGGAGCTGGTGGGACAGGTTTGAATTTATGCAATACTAAAAAACATTCTCCACATTTTAAACTGTGGGTGATTCACAAGAGTTGCAGAAAAGGGTGCTGCTGATGGCTACTTTCCCTCTTCTCAGCAGTTCAGTATTACAAGCAGCCTTAGTAGCTTTGCCATAATTACATAATACAAATACACAGGATTCTTCTCAAGAAGATAAAAATTGTATCTTTATACAAATACCTTGTTAAGATTACATCCTTTCAGCACTAGTCCAATCACCTTTAACAGACACAAACAAATACTCATACAATAAACAGCCAAAAAATACTTTCCTTTTCTTACAATCACGTAATTATCTTCACATGAATGAAATAAAATTACGTAAATTAAAGAAATACAGTTAAAAAATAACAACAAACATATATATATATATATATATATATATATGTTAACATATATAATCTTTTTCTAAGATGAATGTTTTTAATATCAGTACTAACTTTCTTCATTCCTATATTATTTATTACTATATATCTATTCTCTAATGACTTGATCAATTTACTTCATACCAAACATTATAGAGTTGATATAAACGATTTATCAGAAAGATTCTCTTTACTGAGTAAGAACACAATATATTTTACTACCACAAGATCTTACATAAAACTCCCCCCAAAAATTCAAATCACAAGATTAAAAGATATCAGATGTATATTTTGTTAATACATTACCATAGAAAAAAAAAGCACCAGATGCTTTTAATTTTTATTAAATTGTAAACATATATACATACATGTTTTTGCACATACTCAAACATGTAAAGCAGCATAGACTGAAAGGTAGTTAAGCATCTACAGCCAAGGAGCAATAATGTGTAAACTTACATATATAAAAATACAGTAAGTTTAACTTGTGTGGCTCTATGGGCATTATAAAATATATACACTACCATACAATAATAAAAAAAAAATGCACCAATCAAACTGATTACTGTTTTAATGCTTAATGTATGCTTTATTGAAATCTACTTTTCATCCCTATCATTCCTTGGGATGCTTCTCAGCTTATGTTGAAATGTGTAAAGATTATAAGGATACATACTTTCACTAAACAACTTGTACCTTGTCACCATAAAAAATACACACAAGTTTATACATTATAATATTATTGTTTAAATTATAATGTGGTATAGAAAACGTTTTACAATAATAGTTATTCAACATTATAACCATAAACTTTAAGAATCAATTTACATATAATTTCTTTCAATTATTTATTATGCTGACAAAAAAAACAAAATTCTTTCTTACATATTTGACACTTTCACTTGTGTAAATTACTAAGCTAATTTTAGTTCTGAACAAACTAAATGCTCTTCATAGAATATAAATTTTTGCAGTGAGTTATTTAGAGCAGTGTCAGTACGCACTACTGATCAGAATATAGTAAACAACTTTTTAAATAATTAAAGAAAACAGCCTGTGTAAACATTATTCCTTTGATAGGAATTAACCCATAACACTTGTAGTTGAAACTATACATCAACTTAGATTACAGAAATGGCAAATATGAAAGAATTTTAAGTCACAAAAAGAAACAATTCCATTTTATTTATAAATGAAAATACTCAAGAAAATTGTGTGCATTATTTTATACCAAGATTATCTGCTAACCTTTATTACTAGCTCACCACCCAAATGTTAAGGAGGAATGAACAATAGTTATCCTTTGATTTTTCAATAAACAATAAAGATAAGAACCTGACATTGTTTTTTAAACACTTCCAATATTTGAAACTTAATGTGTGATCACTTTAAAGCTTCAAATAGTAAATTATGAAAAACCAAAAACATTATACAACAACATATCTGATATTTTTCACATGAAAATGTTTAATTAATGGCAATTTGTACAGGTTGACTTCATTTTGATAAAATTTTGTCTTCAAGTAAGACCTAGGAAGAAAAGTATCTGAAAAGATTGGATAAATAAATTTTAGAAAATTTTCAAGAATCACTTTTTCTTAAATCAGACTATATATATTTGCACAATTCACATACCCTAATTATAAACTGACAAATATAATTTAGATCTTCCCAACTGCTAAAATTTCTTACCCAAACCATTCTTACTTATCTAACAAATGAAACAATTACACTGATGATGACACAAGTGAGAACTGAAAAAACAAACTGTAAAGTTCAACTGCCACTAAACCTGTCTGTTATAGGTGAATGGACTGCAGATACACTGCACATAGAGCAAAAGTCCATAAAATATTTATTTCAACAAAGGCCTCTTTTCAACTCATTCAGTTTTCATTTATTTATACACTGTCAGCACTGTCTTCACTGGTTTTACTATGTCTTTCACCCATTTCAATATCTTCCTCCTCATCATCTTCCATGTCTGATAGTTCTTCCCAGTTGTCCTTGAAAAAAAAGAAAGAAAAGATTAAGGAAACTAACTGTTAAATGTGTAATTTTGACAATTTAATGTTTCAGTGGTTTCAGGGTAATCAAAAAATATTTAACACACACACACAGAAATAACAGAGGCTTTCCGTCAGCCTCTTCAAATATATAAGCAGTTTTCTTTTCAAATACTCTGTAGTTAAGGGTACCTAAGTCCATTGTATCATTCAGGCACTGTGTTCACCTACTACAATGTTTGTTATCAGTTGGCTCTGGGTCAGATCCATGCTGAATTTTATGGGTCTGCAGGTTGTATGTGTGTATATGACTGGCAGTCAGCTCCAATCTATGCATTCCAAGAAATCATGAACCTCTAAGAGAAACCTTAGAAAAAAAAAATCTTATAAATTGGACTTTAACAATTTCACTGGATTATTTTTCTGAAAGATGATTAATGAGAACATCAACTGTCACTAAGAGATTAAAGTCTATTTTAGTACATCTTAAAGTTAATTTGTATTTCTTATTGCTCTTTCATTTTTTAGCACTATAACTAAAAATAATTTACCTAATGCTGAGTTAGTTATTTTTAAGTGTAAAAATGATTTCCATACTTATGACCTGTAAAGAAATGATATTAGAATTTCATGGATATCTAAATATTATAAATGCTAGTGGTATGTAGTACTAATTAATACTGCATTTTGAATAAAACACACTGGCTAACTTCAAGCAATTAGGCTAGTCTCAATTTAGTTCAACTTATATCGAAAAGAAGTGAGGAGGTTTGGAGAATTATTAAATGTTATTGAAATATATGATATGTAGGGTTTCTATGGCTCTTAATTTGGTTGACTGCAATATTATACTAGTTTTAAAATCAGATGAAGATTGTGAATCTTATTAAAGTACAATATATGGATTAAATCTATCCATGTCTTAATATTTGTCTAACTTGAAATTACTCATTAAACCTACATGCACGAGCTTGGTCCGTGGGACTGGGTTTGTACTAGGGAATTAACGATTACTATAATAAGCTCTTAGTTATATCTCGGTAAAGAAATAAGCTTTGAGGAGAGTTTACACTATGGTTTAGCAATATCTATAATATACATACTTTATCACAAGCTCACAAGATCAATGAGTAGAAGGAAAAAAATTGTAAATGGGCAATTTGGGACAAAAATACATCGTGATACACAGAATTAAAATTTGGGATGCTAAATATTTCCTTTTGAATTAAAAAATTAAATATTATATAATATTAAAATTCAATTTATTAACTACATTTTGAAGACAAGTTTATTGATATACATTGATAATAAATAAGTTTAATTGATAAGTAGTTTAAATAAAATGTTGAATGTAATTCTGCAAAAAGTCATGACATGCAAACTTTGAACCCACTTGTGCACATAGGTTTAAGGGGGTAATTTCTATGCCCACAACTGGCTGCATACAGTGAATGTGAGAGATGATCAGGATGTTGTAGGATCTTACTGCTTACTGAAGTTTGATTCTCTGCTGTTGTGCTGTACTTATTTTTCATTTTGTGATTAAGAATTCAAAGAACTTGTGACTAAAGGCAAAGAAGAATATGTAATAATACGTCAACTACACTATATCTGCCACATCCAGTGATGACAAGTCCTTTTGCCCAATAACCAAACTCGTAGGGCCAGCTGAAATAGTGGTCAAGACATTATTTATATCATAAGTTGCATGAACCACAACTATTATGTAGTGAACAAGTTTAAATAAAGTGTAATTATTGTCAATTTTATCTATGTATTTTACATATCAGAATTACAATAAGGATTAATAACACAATATCATTATTTATGTATTTATGTAGAAAGAAAGAGTATTCTGTTGTGTGTCTTGGTTTTTTTAAGCAGATATATTCCTTCAAAAATATATGTTGTGTAATATTTACAACTGAAATAACTTTAAAAAATTTTTTTGCAAGATTTATCTATATGATTTCATTTTATTTAACTGATTGTGATTAAATGTTAATGTAAAATATTGTATACACAGACACATGTGTAGTATATATCAAATAAAAGGGTAAAATTGGTAAGTATTCATACAGTGTATATAGGTACTTTTCTGAACAAGACTACACAGCTAGAAAACTTGGAAATGATAAAGAAAATTTTACATGTTTAGTTCTTCATATGCACCTGAGCATTTTAACTGAATGTGATTGGGATCAGTCAATTGACTAATGCTGTATTGGAGAAGTAATGTTGACTATAATTCAGAATTTGTGAAGTGTATATTCACAAAATGTGTAAAGCTATTAGTCAACAGTAAGTCTGTTGTATGCAACATATCAGTTTGTTGCTCAAGTTTTTGTACAAAATATATCAGACTCTGACAGGTCAAAGTGCAAAAGTGATGTCATGTGAAGGATACATTTATTTTTGTTCATCGTACAATTTGCAGAGTGCATTTGAGTAACTCTTGTGTTCTAAGTCCATGGTTTATTTTCAGTATCCCTGTACGTTGAATCTGGTATCTTCTCTACTTTGACAAGAATTGTTGTGAACTGAGCAATGTAGGGTAATATGTTAATACATCTGACATGAAGTTCAAGATACCATGTTGAATAGCACTTTGTAAAAGGTTGGAGAAAGCATACTTTGAACCCTGTCCATGCACATAGGGTTAATATATTTTAAAAGTTTTAAGGCCTAAATTTATGCTTTTTGAAAGATAAAAACATCTTACACCAAATAAGACAAGAAGAATACACAAACTATTAATAAGTCAAACTTTTAAGCAAAATTATTCATAAATAATGCAGACTTTGTTTTTATGAATTAAGCCAACTTTTCCATGCTGAATGTACTTGCATCTTAAAACCTCATTTGCATTTTATTTCTAATATTTTTTTTCTCAGTATCTGTTTTAAAGGGAAAAGATTTCACAATTTTTCTACCACAACTTAGTTAACAAAATTTTCAATTTATTTATAATGGAGTTCTGAATGAAAAAAATGAGCTTTTTTTATGATATTTATTTGAAAAAGAAAATTACTCTCTGAAATTATGTATAATTTTTATTCTTCAATTTTGTGAAACTCTCTTTCAAAATATTAAGTTTCTTTTACTCTGAAAGTAAAATGCAACGAGGAAGTAACTTAAACACCATTAGCTGACAGTAAAACTAACACAGAATTTTTAAACTGAAACTCTCTTTTAGAAGTGCACTATTCTACTGTTATATGAGTCATTAAAATATTTTTGTTAACTTACTTCTGATTCTGAATGAATTGGTAAGAGATCAACAACTCCAGTTTCTTCATCTGATGATTCTGTAATGACAAGTGTTTATGTAACTTTAGCAAATGCTGGTTTGTTTGTACTTTATATTATACACAATTAAAAGTTTTTGTTTATCAATAATCCTTTATTAAAATATAAACTACAACACTAACTTATTTCTCACACTTACTCATGAGAACAATTTCAAAAGACTTGAGAAAACAGGTCACTCTGATTAAGCAAGGAAAATTATTCAACTGAAAAATTATAACACACACACAAAAAACAAAACAATATAAAGGTGGGTATATATTCTAGCACTGAAAATTAATCTAATTAGTATTTCTCATGATTTTCCATATAAGAACAAGTGCAATGCACAACTGAAATTACAGTATTTTTCTACATTAACACTGCTCTGTAGAAAATTAGTTTTAGTGTTTGTTCTACTTTATCTTCCTGCACTGACTTCATAGCTAAACAGTAGTGTGTTGGAGGCCATTTATTTTTGATGTTCAAGTAATCAAAGTTATATAGTTGAAAGGAAAAGAGATTATGTTTTCACTCATTATACTTTATAGGCAGTTAATGTGATTTTCTTTATGAAATTTTGTCTTTGCTTTTGTTGTTAGGTTGCACTACTACTACGAATAATGAATGCTTATGTTTATAATTTAGGTACTGTTATGTGAATCCTAGGAGCAAACAACTGTGTTTTAAACGGTTTGTACATAATGACACACTCCATCTTTCTTTGTGATTGATTTCATTAATATCATTGATTATAATTTTCAGAATGATTTTATGTATTTTATTACTATTAATTTTTATACTTATCAAGATTATTTAGTATTTTCAGCTTTATTTTTGGAATATGGGTGGAAATGACTTATCACTAGTCAGAATTCTCCTGAATGCATTAGAGCTACAATGCAAATGGAATTTTATGTCATTTAAATGTATTAACAATGTTAAATGCATCATTCTTGGTAAAGGATACTGTTAGATATACACAACTGTTTTAATTAAAGTATAGTGTGAGTGTTAAATTTAGTTATGTTTAGAAGCGATAGTTTATTGTTTATGAAACTGTGCATGAATCATACATTGTGTAGTTCCATTGTTGTGATTTGGTGCTTGTATTATTGTGTCATGTTACAAGAACCTTCTGAGTTTTTCTTGTTGTTTTGATTGAGTATTGTTACATCATAATATTTCGTAGTGTGTAGAAAGTTCCAGGCCTCAGTAGGGCTGTTTATAAATATGCGTCCAAAATGCAGTTCAAGTGAAGTGAAAAAAAGACAAAATTAATGAGTTAGTCAAATAGATCTAGATTGTATGTTTGCAAGTTTAGCTGTACAGAGCATATAGTGGCACTTTCTAAAAAAATTAAATTGTTGCAGATTGTATTATTGTAACAACAGAGTAGAGAAGCAGAATAATCTGTCTTGTCAATTGTGTTCTAAAGTAATTAAACAAACCTGTGTGGACTTTTGACGAAAAGAGACAATTATTTAAAGGTTTGGATACAACTACGGTGATTAACTGTGTAACAAACATTTGTATATATATTTGACTTGTTTTAATATATTATTTTAAAGCAAGTGGACTGTGTGCTGTACGTTTATTTTTGAACTTTATCGGCAACAAGTCACAGACAACTACTGTAAAGAATCTAGCCCATACATCCATACCTAAAAACCTGACAGATACAATACCAGTAAGTTTTTTATTCAATATGTGAATTATGTACTTAGAATAGCTCAAAGGGTAGTATTTTTTGTAAATTATAACTTATAAACACAATTACAAACTATTGTTAAACTTACCTTCATGATAAACAAGTAAAGCATCAGATGGAATGTCTATGCTTCTTGCTTCCTCTCTTGCCATAAGCTAATATAACAAATATTACAACACACATTATTTTACCTTAAGGTTATCTTTGATATTTTTATTTAAAAATTAATAAAAAGTTGTTTTATTAAAATACACTAGTAATGTATGCTATTGACAGACCACAAGATATATTTTCCAGGTTTTGCACTTAGATATCTATAGAAAGTTGCAAAAAGTAGTAATAAAGTAAAAAAACAATATTTAAGCCACCATATATAATATCCATAAATAAAATATATTTAACACCAGTTGTAGTTTCTGATAAGTATTCCAACAGATAGTTTTGTTATACTATGTTATTACTTGTTTGATTTACCTGACTCTGAATAAGGTCAAGACTTCCTTGTAATCTTGACATCTGATCTAATACTTGTATCCTGGCTTCTGCAAGTTCTTCTAGAGGACCAAGCAAACTGTCTGCATCTTTTTGCTGACAAAAACACAGTGTAATTTTTGTTAATAAACCAAACTTCAATAATTCATATTATACAATTCTATAATAATTTCAAAAGCAGATATTTCTTTTCACTAATTTACAATGATTTTAACATTAAAACTCTTGTAGTGATTGTTACCCATCCAAACACCAGCTGAGTCATGAGTTAAGCTGTTCAATGCTACCTGCTCTTTTTTTTTCTGTTTTAGTAGTAACCAAGAATGGATTGTGGAATTATTTTAAATCATAATATCATCATCTTTTACAAATTCTATTAATAGCATACTTTTAAGATGAAAAATCTGAACTTGCAATTTTTTTATTCATATTTAACTAAATTTCAAACCATCAAAACCATTATAACACCCTTTCAAAACAGATTACCAAGGTTAAGATCATCCACTTAATATTGTATTCATATTATATCTTGTGTTGTATTACATTTAAACTAAGTAACGCAATCATATATGTTAAGTTCTAAGCATATTCACAAATGTTTCACAGAATAAATTTTTTAACTTTTACTTTATGAAAGAAAAAATATAAAGACAAGAGTAAGATTTTCTATTAATTTTGAAAGTAATGGAAAAAACAAAGACTACTCTAAGTACAAAATGAGAAAACATGAAAAGTTATTTAAAAATTATAAAATATAAAGTATTTAATAACTAAGTAAAATAAGAATATGTTCTTTACAACATAACACCACAACATTTAGATAAATGTGTCAAGATTTTTCAGGAGAAATTGGTTACTAGTATGCCATAGCTTAGGTCTTAAAGTACATTTGTAATACATTAAAAGAAAAGTAATTAATATTGTTCATCTGAGGTTGCTAATTAACCACTAACCTGAATTATTGTGTTTGAGTGAATCCTTAACACTGTGTGAACCCAACAGAGGTAAATTTGTGCCCTAAACAGAATGAAGAAAAATTGTTTTAGGTATGTATTATTAAAGAATATGTTCTGTACGAGCTACAAACGGAGGAATGCATCAATATACAAATACATATATTAAAATAATAAAGCCCAGAAGTAAAATACTAGATTAAAAAAAAAAGAGTGAGACAAAATAAAAGAACAGGAATTTTTCAAAACCAGCAATGGTTCTTGTAACATGATAACTTCATTTGTACTCTTCCTATTTTCTACTATAATGCATCAGTAGGATCACATTTTCTAGTTCATTCACAGATTGATGGTATGACATAAAATAAGCATTTTTTTCCCTCATTTTCAACAATATTTGGTAGAAATTAAATGCTAATACTATTAAAGACAGAGATAACTTGCTTTTGAGAAAGATTCATTTTTATCCTTCTATGTTAGTTTGAATTTAACACTAGATGTTTGCCAGCCTTAGAGATAATCATCAGTCAACAATGTGGATAATACTTTGCCAATATTTATCATTGTTCTCTACATATTTTTTCAAACATCCAGAAATTCTTAAAGATTGTTAATTTACTTTATTATTATTTTTAAACAACTTGGATTAACTTGTCCTTTGTGAATTTTATTTTTTCCTCGAAAAACTCATAACTTTTTTTTAAATATTCAATTTTATTTTTTTAATTAATTGTTCTTATCTATTTAAAATTAACAAATTTTCAAGGAAAATGTTTCCCAATCATTTAGTTGAGAAAACACCATGAAGTTTCTTCCAATTATAAATGTTAAATGTCGAGTATGGCCCAGAGGTTTTCGATGGGGTTCATGTCAGGAGATTGGCTCGGCCAAGGCAACTTCTGGATACCATTTTCTTCCTTCCACTTTTGGGTGTTTCTAGCAGTGTGACACGGTGCTCCATCTTTCTGGAACAATGTTGTATTCTTGTCCACGAAACCCGAGGAATAAAGTGGCAAGATCCTTCCTCCAATATTTCGACGTATTTCGCAAAATTTATGTTGCCAACGCACTCCACTAAGCTCGATCTCCCACCAACCCCAACAGCTCTCCAAACCATCACGCT